CATTAAAAGTTCTATTTTGCGTCAAAATACCTATGTTATATTGATGCTATAAATAAATCTAGTGTATATCCTAAGTCACGCTTTCGAGACATGGAAAACGCAATTTGAATTTCGTCAATCGGCCCAGTGGAACGGGAGATATAGAACTGACCCCCTTTTTTTTCTCAATGTACGTACTTCGTTAATCTGAACTATACGTAGCTCCTATGTAACATAAGTTACCTGTGCGGAATGCGATTTGATGACGAAACTCCCGCATTTGTCAGCAGACTCGAATGAAAAGTGAAGCAGCATATTTACAATGAACGACATTTAACGCGAAAACTATCAACTCAAAATCCTGTATCGATATCATAATAGTCGTTTTGGGCTAACATGTGTCTTAATTCAGAAGACAAACAACAAAAAATCAGCGTTATATTTTCAAATTTTCACAGGACTAGTTTCGATGGTTTTACCGAAACATCATCCTTAGCTGCAAAAACGCAAATTGTTCGGCGTGTTATTGTGTCTTAACATGTGTCTTGCAAGAATTTTAATGCATCTTGCAATCGATCATCAGCATTTTGCCAGCAGTCTCTAAGATATTATTTTTCTGGTAAATTTAGGATCGATATTTTTAGACTAATTTATCTAAAATTACCCAGCTATGCACTAAAATGCGTAAAATTATTATCCAGAAAATGCACCAGGATGTGCAAAATTATTATCCAGAACTTAAAATGTCAGTTTTTTACGTTCAAATTTTTAACACATAATATATTGAAGTTAACGGAGCCGAAACGAAATTAACTATAACGAATAAGTAAAATTTTCCACTCTGTTCATCTCCATCCATATACTTTGAAACATTTCGTGATTATTTCTGGCAAACCGCGAATGATGCAAGGCCAGGAATATCTGTATTGATCGAAAGAATGGTTCTTTGTTGACAGCATTCTATTGGCATCTGCAAAGCTACCTGGCTATTCAAATGTGGTACTTCCTAGAAGAAGAAAACTTCCAAAGGAAGTGTATGAATAAGCCTCAAAATTAGATGTTTAAGATTGCGGATAATTAATTTTCAATTCATTGATTAACTTCCGGTAATAATTAGGAAGCTGTATGCTTTTAATTAAATCACGGCATCATTTCAGATAAAGAAGTAATTCTAAAGACTTCGCATATCGAATTCGTTATCATCAATAATCTATACAAATAATTTATTTAGTTATTTAAATTTAATATATAAATTTAATATTTTTTTTAATCTAAAAGCTTTCAGATTTTACATTACGCCCAAAGGGTCGTTTTTATAACGTTTTGTGTGTTACCTTTATTTATTCAATAGCATATTCTTCGCACTTAAACTATAAAATTCAGTTCAACGGTAACATCGCAAAATAATTTTAAAATGAGCTTATCTTTAGAATTTCTCATACCTAGTCTCGCGCGCTGGAGATAAATATGCTTACCCCCTCGTACAGTGTTGCCATCTCTCGCTTTGAAATTGTTGAGTTTGTCAATCAAAAATTCGTTAAAGTTTTACAAAATATGAAATCGATGCTAAAGCAAATTCCAAATTAGGGCTTCCAGATGCCCTATTCGGTGGAGGATTACGTTATTCAAAATTGGATGGCTCTAGGTACCGTTGTTTTATGACTATGCGAGAAATATAGATATATTCATGCAGATTCTTCATTATTTAATTTCTTTAACAGGGCGAGTATGGGCTCTAATATTTGGCGGCAACAATTTGGAAAGTGAACCGACATTCATAGAGAATGCAACGCCAAAATGCCAAAACGAAATTAATAGCCCTTCTGGGGTAACGCCCTTTGGGCTAATAATATTTAAATTTAATATAAAATAATATTTTTATTTAATATAAAATAATAATTTAATTTAGAATAATTTATTTAAATTAGGATATTTGTATCAATTATTAATGATAAAATCGATTATTAATGACAGATGGCTTAGAATTAATTTAAAGATTTTTTTTAGTTTAGAAATTAAGTTTAATGACTAGGAAAATGTAAAGTATCGTTAATGAATGATGTAGCAACCTGTTAGTCGCCACATTAGTCTATCTGTGCTGCTAAGCAGCCCTGTTGCCACTTTGTTCACAAAAATTTACGTATAAATGCGTCCGCTGTTTGAATTCCATGCAAGAGATCAATGAAGAATATCATTTCGCATTCCTGGTAATCAAAAATAAAAATAAATTTCAGAAGCAATGAAGTATGACTATTGAAATATATTGAAGCATTTCAGAAGTGTGAGTAGAAAAGGAAAAATATTTGATCAGAATGATAATTTTTACGACTTAAAATATGAAATATTATTTGCGGCTGAAAATTATACAGCAGTAGTTACGCTATTATTTTTTCTAAAGAAATTATTAGCTAAAGTTAAACAAGTGCAATAATTAAAAGAATTCCGATCCAAATTTTTGCAGCATAAAAACAACAATGCTTTCAATGTTTTAATAACACTTATTGTTAGTCCGAAGGAGCAATTTCCTCTGAAAGAATATTAATTTCGTTTTGGCATTTTGCTTTGGTTCGCTTTAAATATCGGCTCACTCTTCAAATTGTTGCCACTAAATATTATCGCCCTGTGTGATATTTAAACAAATTAAATAATGAAGAATCTGCATGAATGTATGTATGTTTCCGGTACTGAGATAAAACGACGGTACCTAGAGCCATCCAATTTTGAATAACATAATTTTCTACCGAATATGGGTATTTGGAAGCCCAAATTAGGAATTTGAAATTTTCTTTTTATCGATTTCATATTTTGTAATACTTTAACGATTTTTTATAAATAAACTCTACGATTTCGAAGCTAGTAATGGCAACACTACGAAATTTGCGATATTGCCGTTGAATTAAATTTTATGGTTTAAGTGCAAAGAACATGATATTTAATAAATAAAAGTAACACACAAAACGTTAAAGAAACGCCCCTTTGCGCGTAATGTAAAATCTGAAACTTTCATATTTTATTTTTTTAAAATAATAGAAGTAATGAATTTAGCGGCTAAAAATTTATTGCTATTTTCTTCTCTGCTTAAACTAATTTTAAGAAGCTGCAAAAGTTCATCTCAGCTTGAAACAAACTGCTTATAAATTTTAATTCTCTTATAGTGATGATTCTTTTATAGTTCTTTGTATCACATCCGGTTCATCACTTCCACGAAGTTGTGGAGAAATATCAGTTGACAGTATTATTAATGCAACATTTTTTGGCGGTTGTGTTAGACGCCATAGTCGTGTCATTTGATTTACTAATTTATTAATACGTAGTATCTATTTTCTCAAACGCATACTAAATTAATTTGATTTGTCCGATTATTAGACTTTTTTTATGCTGGAGACGTGAAAAATGAGAAATGCCCTTGCCAGGACTCGAACCTGGACTCCTAGAATACGCGTCGAGTGTGCTACCGTTACAGCACCAAAGCATGCTGGAAGTAGGAAAAATACCTTATATACTCCCCCTTTTAAAAGGCGGCTGGGTATTAGGGGATCCAATTGCGAAATTGGAATTGGTGGTGAAGAATCATCATCCACCACCTGTTCTTTAGTTCGGGCGCCACTGTAGATTCATTGGATGTTTTGAAGCAGGGGACGAGAAAAATGTGGAATGCCCTAGCCGATTTTAATTTCGTGAACAGTCTCTCCGTTTCTAGAACATATGAATTGTGTTTGTGTTTACTTACACTAAATAAATATACAAAGATTGTTTGTGAAATAAATGCAAAATTATCCGCAAGATAAAGACAATAACAAAATACTTGTACCAAAACTTGTGCACGAAAATATTTGCATTATTTTTAAAAAATATATTAAGTATATAACTAAAATACCTTTAAGGTTTTAGCTGCAAGCCTGCTTAGGAAATTCATTAGCATATCATAAAATACTAAAGCAGAATTTAAAAATTGTGTATTTTTGAAATTAGTTATATTTTTTAAATTGTTATTTTAAAAAATACATTTTTGCTGAAACGTTTTCACACAATTTTTACATTACCCTAACTCCAGTTCTTTCATAATGCTTTAAGAATTTGATGAAGCAATATTTTTATTTTTAACCACTATTTGATTTTGTGGGATAATTGCCAAAATCTTCAAAAATATACAATTTAATTCAAGCTGCTTTCTAACATTTTCTTAAAAGAAAATAAAGCTTTTTTTTTTATTAATGTTGAAAATCTTGCAGCAAAATGTCTTGCTAACAAAAATAAAAGTAAAAAATAAAATTAATTTTAATAATAATAAAATTTGAAAGGTTTCAGGTTTTAAATTACATCCAAAGGGGAGTTTTCTTAACGTTTTGTGTGTTACCTTATTAAATATCATGTTCTTCGCATTTAAACCATAAAATTCAGTTCAACAGCCATATCACAAAACAATTTTAAAATTAGAGTACCTTTAGAATTTCCGGTGCAGTCTCATGCGCTAAAAAAAAATCTGTACAACGTTGCTATTGCTCGCTTCAGAATCCTTGAGTTTGTTCATAAAAATTCGTTAAAGTTTTCAAAACATGAAATCGATAATGGAACAAACTCCAAATTCTAAATTTGGCTTCCAGATGCCCATATTCTGTGAGAGATTACGTCATTCGAAATTGGATGGCTTTAGGTACCGTTGTTTTATCACAGTGGGAGAAACATACACACATTTATGCAGATTTTTCATTGTTTAATTTCTTTAAATATAATATAGGGAGATAATATTCGGTGGCAACAATTTGAAAAGTGAATCAACGCAAAATGCCAAAACGAAATTAATAGTCCTACTGGGCAAATTGCCCCTTTGGAATAAAAAGATCAAGGTCTTACTTTTTATGCAAATAAAAAATAATGATATAAAGTTATTATTAACCGATATTCTAATATCTCGATGCACTATAAAATCTGACATTAATTAAAAGAATTTAAAGTTTCGTAAGGTAAAAAATGCAAGAAATGAATGGTTTCCTTAGATTAACCTTCCTGAATGATTTTAGGCCGACAGGAAGAAGTAGTTCCGGAAGTGTTACAGAACGACCTTTCGGCATGATGGCTGAAGACCAAGGCAAAGATTTTGACTTCGAGAGAACAGAAATGAAATACGACTCGACGGGCATGTTTCACTGGTGTCCGGCACGTTCTATCGAAGACTGTATTCTGGTCAGTAGTTCTCTTTTCAGATATTTCGAATACCAATTATTTGATAATGCAATTCAGTGAATTTAAAAGTGTAAAAGTCGGAGTTGTAGATTACCCTAGCATTGGGTGTGCTGTTATCAACTGGGATGACATAGCTTGCTATCGTTAATTCCATGAATTCCAGTTAATTCCAGTTAATTCCATGAATTCTTGTACGAAAACGTTTTTAAACCTTTTGTTATGGGAACAGAGATGCAATAAAAAAAAAAAAAAAAACCAAATCCTTCAATTAGAATTTTTTTTAAAAAATTCTTCCCAATACAGAACTCCAATTATCCGAATCAACTGTGACCGGACCCTATGCGAATAATCAAAAATTCGGGTAATTGGATTTTTCCCGAAGAAAGGGTCTACGTATACTGTAATTAATTATTATATGTACTGTATGTTGAAAATGGGAGAGAAAAAACTATTTTTAAAGAAAAAGAGTTTTAATTAATTAAAATGGAGAGGCAACACTTTTACGTATATGTTATATAGCGTACTGTACAGTACAAGTACTGCAGCTTGGTCAAAGCAACCTGTTTGACTGTCTTCATCCGTTTTCGGGCAGCCAAGTTGCGCATCTGCTTGATAATGAGAAATTGCATGGGGTCACACTCGGGCTGACGTTCCATCCACTTCAATGCAGTTTCGAGGCCGGCAAACGCTTCACCAGCTGATGGCCCCGTCTCTGCTTCAACTTTGACATTAAGGTCATCTTCTTCCTCGACAATTTCTTCTCTCGCACTTTCAATAAGTTCATCATCATTTAGAATTCGAAACCCAGGGTCTGACGAATCACACATCATCTGAGTATTCAGGAATTTTCAATAGGATGTTTCTTAATTCCTCAAGTGACACGTCATCCTCATGTTCTTCCCTTTCCTTTCTTAACCTTCTTTTTCCCTTTTTACTTTTTCCTTCTTCTGTAAAATTCTGAAAACGATTCGAATAGTCGGAGTTCGGATCAGAGTCGGATAGAGTTGTACTGTAATGTCGAGTACTGTAATAATGGAGTCGGATAGAGTTGTACTGTAATTTCAATGAGTCTGAAAAACATATAGAACTCACCTTCATATATAACTCGCAGAAGCATTTTTCTTCTGTTGATGACCTAAGTTCTCCCAGATCTAATTCTATTACGTTTTGAATATCTTACGTTGAAAATACTCTTTTTAGCGTCAATTTCGATACTTTTTAAAAACTACGACTCCCGGTCTGCGACCTTAAGTTTCTTCACTGTTTCTCTTTTTGTTCTTTCTTTCTTTTTTTTTTCGGGAGGGGGGGAGGGAGGAAGAACATTAATTTTTCTTTCCAGGTTCGTCAGTAAAACGTAATGTCTATTTTTATTCTTTTCTTTTCCACAGGATCGTAATCAAGCTGCTATGACTGTTCTTAACGGTCACGTGGTTCTGTGCCTATTCGCCGACAAGGACTCACCTCTGATTGGCCTTCGGAATCTCGTGATGCCTTTGCGAGCCAGCAATTTCCACTACCATGAGCTGAAGCACGTAGTAATTGTCGGAAACGTGGATTACCTCCGCAGAGAATGGAAGATGTTGCAGAATTTGCCCAAGATATCAATACTTAGTGTTAGTATCTTTTACTTTATTGATGAGGGTCCATAATTTGTGGTAAATAAGTTCATACTTTTAAGTGCATTACATGAATATCCTTGCCATTGAAATTATTTATTTCTCTGCTCTTAAAGAGTTAAAAAGACAACTATATTCCGAACATTCATAATAATTTTCTTGATAACATCGAGTTTATCTGTTAAAATCGATAACGTTTTTCTTCGAAAGAAAATTAACAGCTTCTTAAATTTAGACACGTTAATCGATTTATATATCGAATCGAGAAAATATAAATGGGAAAATACAACTACATTAGGAAAACTTAAATGATAAAAAAAACGTATTTCCTAAATATAGTTGTTTTATAGTTTTCCCATTAAATATTTCTAAGTTTAAAATAGATCCAATTCTGCGCGAGGGGGGACATAACAAATTTCCGAAAACTTCTCTCCATTTCTTTTAAGTAAATTAAAATACAAAATCCAAACGTTGATTACTTTGTAATTGACTAAATTATATAGTTAATAAGAATAAAATCTAATAAAGTAAAATAAAAGCATCAAAATCAAAAAGTTATAAAATAATTTTTATTTAAAAAAACCTTTTCAGCTATAACCGAATAAAAAGTCACTGCCGTGGAAGTACAAACGAAAAATAATTCACATCTTTTACCTTCGTAGGATTTTCGTTGTCAAATTTATTCTACGTTTCGTATTCTGCAGATCGTCACAAACTGAAGCAAATGGATGCCAGTAATTTTTGAGAACCCCTTTTAGTCTCTCTCTTCCATTGGACTTTATTAATAATTGTGTTATAATTAAATAATTAATAACTCATTTAATTAGGATTCTCATTGTCACTTATGCTCAATTTCTGACAGTAACATGGGCCGAAGCCCGCGAAATTCCTCGTGACACGGAGCGCTAGATATGCCACTAGTTGAGCACCTTACAGGTGACAGCTCAGTTCCACCCCCCCCCCCAATTTTGATGGACGGCATTCCGGGAAGGATAGGTCTTCGGGATTCGAACTCGGGGACTTCGGCACGGTAGTCAGCGACGCTAAACACTATACCGGTTAGGCGGCTTTAATTAGGTGATACTTGTTAATTTATAAGGTATTTCTCCCGCCTTCTTAGCATGTCTTCATGGTGTAGTGGTCTGCACGCTCGACGCGTATTCCAGAGGCGCGTGGTTCGAGTTCCGGCGAGGGCATTGCTCATTTTTCATCTCTCATGCTTTCAAAAAAATCCTAATGTCTCTACAAATTCTTTTCAAAATCAAACTAACAGTTTGAAAATACTTGCCTTTTCATTACGCAGTTCCGTTCGTCGCCCGGAAGGTATAATGGGTAGGGGGGCCTAGTGCGGTACCGAAGGGCCCGGGTTCGAATCCGGAAGAAGAGATAGATGTTTGTATGTAAATGTACAGTGTTCGTGGGGCATGGGAGCACTTTGCAACGAGCCGAAAGTCCTCTCATGTGGTTTCGGGGAAAGAAAGAGGGTTGGGAGACTCCGCTGACCACTCTACCCCGGGAGAATTCCAACCTCTAAATAGAAGTCTAACATCTCTCTGGCAATCATTTTTCCACGAAATGTGGATATGACAACAACAGCAACGTAGTTCCGTTCCTTTAAATCTTTGCCCATTTTTTGGAAAGTTGAAGAAATCGCTGAAGCTGCGAATAACATTTACGAATCATATAGTTTATTTCCTTGTACAATAGTCTCACATAAAGCCTTTTTTTTTAAAGCGGTGGATATTCTTTACGCATTTGCTTAACTATTGTTTAAAAAGAACTTTAAAATGTGCTATCCTCTTCCGAAGTAAGAGAGGTGGGATGTAAGGAACCTTTTGTAGCAAACGATTTAGTCACTACCCTAATCTCCGATTAAATTACTATTTTTATGTCACTACCTTAATACCAGAATCTCTCAGTACTGATATAATTTATTTTTTCAATAATTTCTGATAAAGTCATTTTTTCTCTTCATTTGTCACTTTCAAAAATATCGAGATGTTTGCTTAGCAACCCTAGCTGTTGACTTTCATCATAAATGCACTCACAAGCAACCGAGCGGTAAAGGCGCTGCACGTTGGTAATTCGACCTGGATTCGGTTCCGGGCGAACGGGCGTTTCCGAGGTAATACCCATGTTTAACATAGATACGAACCAGCTTTCCTTAGAAAGTTCTCTACGAAGGCACCCTTCTTCTTAGGATGCAGCTTCCTTTTTGGTTGCAATCGGCCGCACCAAAATTGTATATATATATATGTACCCACATTCTTACTCGGCTCGGTGAGCTCCTCTTTTTTATTCTTATATGTTTGTAAATTGAGTATTTTTTGCTTTAAAAATGATTGAATTTGTCATTATGTTCCGGTTAAGGTTTTTATGCCTTTAGTTAATCTGCATGCAATAGTTCTAGAATTATCAACAATTTAAAAATTGTTTAATTGCGGCTAAGCCTAATATTTTTACCATAGCAGCCACATTTGTTTACATTTGAAACTTAGCTGAATAGTGAATTAAGTACGTTTCTGCACCTTCAGTGTCTTTTCGCCGAGTGGGGCCAAACGTAAACTTTCAGTTTTGCGCACCGAAAAATCTGCCTTCTTGTCCACTGTCTGAATTGCTTGATTTTGCGTAGAAACTGTCATTTTAATTGTAAAAATTGTTTCTTTTTACTTTCTTGAACGAAGTAAAAAGGAAGTATTCTAATCACGAAAAATTTCGGATATCATATTTCAACGAAAATATCCATTTTGACCGCTATCGAATGCAATTTAACGATGTTTTTGCTTGACATCTGTACGTAAGAACAGAATAAAGGACTGTTTTCCCCCAAAAATTATAAAATTGATTTAAAATGGATTCAGAAGAAATTTTTTCGTGATGTCTGTACATACCTACGTATCTCGCATAACTCAAAGACGAGTAGCCTCAGAACGTTGAAATTTTGTATATAGGAATTGTTGAAATTTTGTTTTGTATTTGTATACATGTTATAACATGTAGATGTGCACATCCCATTTTGGTTGCAATCGGCTACATCAAAAGTACATAAATACATATACTATATATCCGCTCTGTTACTATATATCGGCTCTGTGAGCTCAGTTTCTTTATTCTTTTATGTTTGTAAATTGTGCATTTTTTCTTTAAAAATGATTCAATTGTGTTGTTCTGGTTAAGATTTTTATGCCTTTACTTAACCTGCATGCAATAATTGTGGAATTATCACCAATTAAAAGCTTTTTAAGTCAGCCTAATTTTTGATTACCATGGTAGCCATGTTTGTTTACATTTGAAACTTGGCAGAATAGTGGATTTCTTGCCAGTCTAGAGAAACTAAGTTTCACAACAACAAAGTAACGTCTTCTTTTATTATTGCGAGTTAAATTATGCATAATTCACTCTGGAACTATCATTTAAGTTATTAGCTTGTTTTTGCTTAGAAACGGTAATTTTAATTGTAAAAATTGTTTTTTCAATTGTTTTAACTGTACTTTGTGTTTTATGTTTTTCTATAGCTTTCAAATGTTAATGAAAATATTTTGAATTTTTCTGTGTTTTTGCCTTGCTGCCAATTGAGAATTGAAGTAATGGGTACCGCATGCGCATGAAGTAATCGGCGCTGAATGAAAAGAACTGTGGTAATTCTTCAGATGGTATAATTTTTCTGCACTCTGAGTTACAAAATGAATGAGATGTAACGCTGTTAAGAGAACGTAGCGCCGAAGTGTCGCTATAGTAAATAAATATAGTGAATTTTAAAGAACGCATTTATTCTATTACGGTTTATGCGCTATCCACGAAGTAGATTTAATTCAAAATTCGTTAACTGTTAATTTAATATGTTTAAATGAAACGCAGGAAAAGTGTGTATAATTTAATATTCCGTACAAAGAAGTGATGTTGTGCCCGCATCGGATTTTTTTAAAATTTAATCAGAGAACTTTCCATCACTAAGAAATTAATTTCTGCTATTATTTCTTGTCGCACTCATTTGCTTATAGCTGATTTCGTATCGGGAAGTACAACAAATAATTTAAATCCAGTTATAACAATCAATATTATTACTAATACTCCTTAAAATCGCGTACGTGTTAAGCGGAGAAATTTAATTATTTTCTGGGAGTTTCCAATTATCGGCATAACGCTGGTCGTTAGATAATAATCACTGCACCTCTGGAAACATCCGTTTCTGAGTGTTCTCTCACAGTTATCGGAAGATAGTAATGAAATATCGATTTTATAGGGTTCACCGCTCAGCCGAGCTGACCTGCGGGCTGTGAATATCAATTTATGTGACATGTGCGTCATTCTGTCAGCGAAGATTCCAAGTTCCGAAGACCCCACCTTGGCGGACAAGGAAGCCATACTTGCCTCGCTTAACATCAAAGCGATGACCTTCGACGACACCATTGGAGTCCTCACGCATCGTAAGTTCTGTTTTCTGTCATTCTCTTGCAGTCGAGTTCTGGATTGTTCTAGAGTTACATCATTTAAACGGTGTACACTTAATGCGGAACGAAGAACGCCGTCAAAGATTATTCCACTTACATAATTACTATTTGGCTGCCACCTAAATGTCTGGTTCTAAACTGCAGTCAAAATTTACCACAAAGCCAGATTTTCACATACTAAATCTATATATATTATAAGGCTGCAACCTTTAGCCATGTGTGTGGACCCTCGAGAACTGGTACGCGAGTAATCGCTTTAACTCAGGAAACAGAAACGTAAACTCAAGAAGGGTTAATTGCCCTTTGTTTCTCAAAATAAGAATTTACAGACGGCTCTTGTCTTAGAGCGTACAAAAAGCCTCCACTTGTTCTTGAACTCAAGAGAACTAAGAAATCAAACTTAACTAATGCCTAACTAAAAAGATATAGTGGAAGCTATCAAAATTCTAAAGGAATTGACCCCTAAATGTTAACTAAACGGCGAATGTTAAATGAGAGCCTGAAATACGGCCGAGCGTAGTAATAGCTTAGAGCGAGTGTAGCCAAAAGGCAAACGCGCGCTAGTCAATATCTCTGGCTCTCTAACGCAGTGGAACTTCGACATAAGTACCGCTCTTCCTTCATTTGCATTAACCGTGATTCTAAAAACACACTCTGGCAGGAAATTGTAGGCTGAAATTAAAAGCGACATTTTCTCCCGCTTTCCTAGCGTGCCTTTGGGGTGCAGTGGTTCTGCGCACTGGACCAGTATTCCAGAGGTCCGTGGTTCGATTCCCGGCGAAGGCGATTGCTCATTTTTCAATCTCTCCGGCCTCCAAAAAATATCCTAATGTCTCTACAGCTTTAACTAAAGATAACTGTTGAAAACTTAAGATAAACCTTACAACATAAAGAAGAATCTCTGTTTGTGTGTTTGTTCGCGATTAACTCAGTCACTACTATAGCTATCGTCACCAAACTTTCTACCATTCTTTTCTGGGTCCCGAAAAAGATCGACGTTCACTTTTTTCAAAAAAAAAAAAAAAAAAAAAAGAATAGCTAAAACCAGAGGTATTAATTAAAAACTCTGAAAGCCGCCCTCATTTTTCCCAAGTGACAACAGTCTCGCACGCTGGAGATAAAAATCTGCTGTATTTCGAGAAGTGTTGCCACTGCCGTCACCATCGAGATAGATAAGGCCTGCGCGCTGAGTTACTACGTCACTGCTAGGGGACCGGTCTTCGCGCAGTTTAGCTTCCTTGCTAAACACCCGTTTTTCTAAACCTATTCTATGAAATCGGTATCTCATACTATAAAATCAGTCTAAAACAAAATTACAAGTGGCAATATAATGTTTTACAAAGCTTATACGAATATGAAATATTTTCATTTTCTTTTGTTGGTATTTATTTTCAAAACAAAATTATTTGAGAATGGTGTGGTGCTTTTAAAAACAAATCATTTCTTTGAAGAAAAATTCTTTTTAAAATTCAAGTAGCTAAAATTTTTACTTTGATTTTTCTGCACTTTTTTTGTGTCTCTCGTTGATTCTCATCACCGCATCAAAATTTTTTGTTTCACCCACTACTTTAACAAAATGTTTGCCAGTGTGAACACATGTTACCTCTCATTCTATAATTATTGCATATTTTTTATATTTATCATATTAATGTAGCAGGATTATAAAACATCAAACGAATGCAAGAGACTACTTAATATTTAGACTAACATTTAAATGCCTTATATCAGTCAGAAAATTTTTCTGAATGTAATAAATTACTAAATAGTCTAGTCTTAAAATTATTTCTTACTTACATATTGTATGTTAATCTGTATTACAGTTAATGTTTTCCTCTTAATGCTACATAATTATTCGACAGAATCTGTAGTTAAATTGAGATAATGTTTATTACATAGCTCTGAAGACTGTCAATATTAAAATTCCAAATAAGACAGGAAAAAAGTTTTTTAAATAAAGTTATACACAATTTTTTTGAAAATATTTTTAAAATATACGAAATACTTAAAAAACTTTTAGAAACTGAAATTTCTTGCAAATATTTACATCATACCTATTTAACTATAAGCGTTACCTCTGTTCTGAAAATATTTTTTCTATTAATATCCACATGAAAAGAAAATATAAATCTTAACATTATGTTCAAAACTTTTCTGTATAATGTAAGCAATTTTTTTAACTTAACTTACATAGCTTTTGGTGGTGCCACATACTCAAATTAAAGATTGTAATTTAAAAGATAATTTAAAAAATTGTTTTTAAAATTGCATTGAATTGAAATACAATGAAAACAAGTATATCTACATATGAATTCAATTACTACTGCTTATTCAATAACTGTACATTTTTAAAATTTCATTTTGCAGTTTTGCAATTTAATTACATTAATATGAATCTTACATACATTACTTTAGAAACTTTTCTGTCATTCTCAGAAAGATTTATGTTGCATAACAAATTTTAAACAAACTGATTGCATGATAATAACATATATAAAAGTGAACAGAAGCTATATTAGCTAAACATATGCATTTAAGTTTCATCATGATAAAATGATATTTAATGATTTGCAAAAAACATTGATATTTAAATTTAAGAACACAGTACTCTGTCAAGAATCAATTTACTCTGCATTTGATACTCTACATATTATGTAATGAAATAAGTGTTATGCTTTTAACCCCTTAGGACAGTTATTTCATATAAAATTAGTTTCCAATTAAAATAAATAATCATAAATTTTGCTGACAATTTTTATATTACTAGTGTTAGTAATTATTACAAGGGATGATGCTTCAGATGCCAAAAGTAAACATAAATTCAATTCTTAAAACATAATGAATAAAAAATTACAACTTATAAAAGCCAACAAAAAGTTTGCTGAGGGTCCCTTAACCGTGACGTCACAAGCCAGTTTCGTTTCAGAGCGCAGGCCTTATCTATCTCGATGGTGACGCCACTGCTCGCTTTCAGATCGTACAGTTTGTTAATAAACAGTTGTTACAGTTTTGCAATGAAATAAAAATAGCGTTGCCGAACATTAAATACATTATTCCCGATTCCAAAAATTCCTGGGAAACCATTTCGACTATTCCCATCTTGGAACGACTTTAATCAGCTGAGATATTAATTAAAAAACTCTGAAAACACTCATTTTTGCGGGTGATAGCAGTCTCGCGCGTTGGAGAAGTATTGCTATTGCTCGCTTCCAAATCGTAGCGTCTGTTAATCAAAAATTTGTAAGTTTTACGAAATCTCTCTATATAAAGAATGTTTGTTTGCTCGCGGATTGATTTCTGATCAATTATGTTAAATTTTTTACCACATTTAATCGACTAAAATTGAATCTAGGTGAAATATTGGATGGAACTTGAGCTTTTGCGACCATTTGATTAGAAAGACGAAAATCATTAAAAACTGCGTGCCACTGTTGCTGATATAATCGACTTTATGTCGAAAAGTGTAACTACTGTTCACTTTCAAATCATAGAATCTGTCGATCAAAAATTTGTATTTGTGATTGTATTTTTTCGCGTTATTAATTTCTGATCCATTATTATGAATTTTTTGCCACATTTATGTGAATATAGTAGGTGAAATATTGGGTGAAAATTGAGCTTTTACGACCATTTGTTTAGAAAGACGAAAATCATTCAAAACTGTGTACCACTGTTGCTGATATAATGAGAGAGAACTAGTTTATTTTTCTACGGGAATTTTTTATGTGGGTTCCATTTCGCATCAAACTGAGAAATCTCTGACTATGAATCGCATTTTTTGCATCGTTATTAGCTAAGGAATACAGTTGTATTGTTCTATTTGTTGTTAGACACATTACTCTCAATCTAGCTTAACTGGCATCAGGTACTTCCGCTAGTGGGTAGCTGTAAAAGTGCATGCAATGTTAGCTATAAAAGTGCATGCATGTTAATGCGTCCGTTTCATAGCAATTAATATTCGTAGATATTCGTCTCACACTTTTAAATAACCTAGTTTTTAATAGGATAGATTCAGTTTGAAAGAAAAATTAAATATCGGGGCATCCGAAAAGTTTTGCGATTTTTGGATGATAAATGCAAAGGTCCCAGTACCAAAAACATAAGCAAATTCCATTAATTGACATAAGTAATGTTGTGTTCTATGACTTTTTGCCATCTCTCTGGCAGATGCAAAATTCCCTCTATTAGGTTTTTGTTCGTAAAAATGTGATCGAAGTACTGTTTAATGCTCTTTTGCCATTATCTCCAAGCCATTCAGAAAATTTTGAAGTGGCCTGAGGAGATAAAAATCCGATAGGGCAAGGTGTAATTAATGAGCGGTAACAGAAGCTGAGTAGGTTTTTTCAACTGTAATAATTAGGTTTTTTCCTGGCATTCATCAAAATGTAGGGTCGAGCTTTGCGATGTTGGATGGGAACACCTCGAAAATGAATCAGTTCTGAGCGCTTTGCTTCGATTTTTGCTTTAAAACTGCCATTTAAGAATAGTATTTATCCAAATTTATTACCTAATTGGGTGGCACAAATTCTTAGTTTGCAGTTTCTTTAGAATCATATGATACCCAAAGCATTATTCTTTTGTACGTATTCTCGATGGCACTGAAAGATGTTCTTCTGGGTCCCTCCATGGTCTTTCCCCCCCTCCCAAATATTGTTGTGTTGCATTCATTTCTCATCTCTGAGGGTTTTTTCTCTCCAAGCCTTTTTCTCTTTGAAGGGGGATATGTAAAATATAAAATATGAAACGAAATTATTAAAATTAGTTGAAGCCAATTGACAACAGAACTTCAGATTCATAAATTTTAATTAAACACATCCCCGCTTGAAAGATACGCTTCGCTCCATTTTTCGTCACTGCAGCATGTTACGTCACTCTTTCCCTGCAATATAAACTTTTGGATTAAGACAAAGATTTTCCGGCTATAAATACGACCGAGGTGAGAACGCATTGCTTTTGTTCAGCATATTATCTTGCTGCAA